ATCTGGTGAAATCCATATCGTCTTGTGTATATCCTTGTGTTTGAACACACTGCCACCAATCACCAAATCATTGAAGGCGCAGAAGTCTGAGAAGAGTTCACCATTGTCGTTCAGTTCATCGAAAGCCTCTCGACCCATGGTGCGTTCTCTTCCTGTATTTTCTCCTTCCACTTTGGCATTCATGTCGCCCATCAGGATTTTGATATCGCCATTTGGGACGTTGTCCATTACTGTTTGTAGTTGTCTGTAGAACGCCTCCTTCTTCTCTTGTTCTGAGACGTTTGTAGGCGCATAGCATTGAATGATTGTAACCTTCCTTCCTTTTGAGTTGAACCTGGCTGTCATTATCCTGGAGGAGATTGGTTCCCACTGGATGACAGCTTTGGCTGCTGTTGATGACATCATGATGGCCACTCCCTCGGCGTGCTCGTGATTGTCCTCTGGGTGGCCGGAAAAGATTATTGTCTCCCCAGTTGGTAGTTGACATCTTCCAAATCCGTTCCATCTGCTCGCAGATTCCCAACACATCTATTCTATATCTTCTCATTTCAGCGGCTACCTGGGCAGCCTTTCCAGTTTCGTACATTGTACGAACATCCCAGGTACCGATCCTTACTTTTGCTTTCATCGAAAGAAGGCACGTCGGTGACTGGCTTCCCGAAGGCTTTCACCGGCCTGAATCATTTCACTTCCCGATTCTTGCGAAAAATAAGGTTATTGTTTATATTTTCAGAATTTTTAATATATTTATACGTTGAAGATTTTGTGGCAATTTGGTTAAGTTTTGGGGGGAATTGCTAGCACCACAACCCAACCCTCCCTCTTTATCCGGGCTTGGGACCGGCTAGAAAAATAGTAATCTAGGCGAGGTTAGTGCGTGGATGATTTATGTTTTAACTCGAAGACCTACAGGCGAAAAAAAAAACAATCTGCTAAAGAAGCATGCGGCAAAGACAGGACTCCAGGTGAACATAGAGACGGTGCAGACGGAGGTGATGAAAATAAAAAAGCAACCAACAGCAACCAATCACCATCAACGGGAGAAATTTGATAGACGTTACTCCTTTCATCTCTATAGGAATCGTAGTTTCAACCACTGGTGAAACGGATGAAGGTGTCAAAGTCTCAATTGGAAAGGTAGGATACGCCTTCATCAACCTGAAACCAGTTTAGTAATTAACACTGCACCCAATCAGCATAAGAAAGAAGATTCGGATTTTCAACACTAATGTGAAGTCAGTCAGTTCTTATGTATGGATCAGGAACTTGGCCATTATTAAACTCTGGTAACGAACCAATCAAGAGCCGTTTGCTCAAAAAACGTGTAGGAGAAAATGGAGATTTATCGGGCATATGCTGAGGGGGCCGTCGAATGAAATCGCGCGCAATGCAGGCCATTGTTTCAGTTCAATCGCAATGGGAAGCGACGAGTGAGTCTTCTGTGTGGGGGTGACATGGGGAAGATGAGAGACTATAGGCAATCGTGGGTCCAAGTAAAGGGGACAGCAGAAGATTGAATGTGTTTTTGAAGCCCTATGTTCCACTCGGAATACCCAATGAAATAATAATACTGCAGACATTTCGGAAGAAACTCAGGTCTCATCACAGAAAGTGGGACAGTTGGATGCAATCTACCGTAAAGTGTCTACAATGCACTTAAAGTCAATGCTATCTGGGTACATCTACAAACATATACTGAGTTGACATTATCCCTTCAGAAAGTTGTTGTCGAGTTTCTGACCCTTTGGTGAGAGTCAACAGCTTTCTGGTTACTATTTCGTTCGCTTACATAAGAAGGTACAGCATGTTATCGAACACACAACATATGCTATTAACGGGAAAACAGGAATTCCGTCGACAATGTCTTCGCAGAATTTAGGAAATAGGGAAAGAAGTAAACAGCAAAGAGAATTTTCCTTTCGATGATCTATTTTCTGAAGCTGTACAATCATACTTATGTCTACCAGAGAATTCACCAGACCAGTCAGCTGCTGGTAGACTTGTTTTATAAGGTGTATTACGTGATGTGAAGTGTAATCTAGAAGCAAATGCAATGCTATTAGTAGACAATAATAGGGTAATGATAAAATAATAGCAATAACAGTAGGTGTACAAATTGAAATGGAGCAAAATTATGGTAAGAACGTTATTGTAACCACGGTAGAGAGAATGGAAGTATGTTGCGCTTTTCTGATTTATTGATTTAGGGCAGAACTCTCGAAGCATATGTTAGTCCTTTTCTCCTCAATTTCAGTTCTTGCTCAAAGCCATCTGGGTGAATCAGTTTAGGATGCTGACACTACTTCATCTAGAAGTCGGTTGCAGGAGTTCATAACTTGGTGTTAGAACCAGCACTCCAAAGGGATATAGTCCCTCCTTGTCTGTATGGCATTCTAGAATACATTTGCGAACTTGACGTTGTGTACTGCAGATATCCTTTGTTCCACAGGAACAATTACACTGATAAATACACTTTGCGTTAGTCGAAAGCTTTATCTTTCCCTTAACGCTTGACTAAATTAATTATCTGGAGAATGTGATACGTAAAGTGGTTGCTTTGAATGGCTTCTTCAGACGTTCAGAAAGGCAGTTTCTAAGAATTTCTGTTCAATCTTAACTTTGATTTCATTTTCATGTTGAGACTTTTCTTAGGAACAGTTGCAAATTTCGGCGACGGGTGTTCGTTTCATCCTCTTGTCGATAAATCTGAGTGGATACTCGTTTTCCAGTGGGCTTTCGTATTTTTATTCATTCTCTGTTAGATCTTCCGAACAGGTTACTCGAATTCTCGTGCATAAGATACGTAGTAGGCTTTGCTTTCAAATTAGAGGGACAAAGCTTTGAAATTTAATAAACTGTCCAGTTTACGCTGGTTTGCGATTTATTGATCTTTAGATTGAATAATCTTGTCTTCTGGTAAGAGTACATCCAGGAATGCAAACGGCATGTTAGATTCAAGTTCTAGGTTGAATTTCATTGAACAGTGTGCGGCGTTGAAAGTTTTGAGAGTATAGTCTAGATCGAATTTTTCCTCCCAAATTATAAGACTGTCATCCACGTATCTCTTCTATAGGTGCAGTTGACTGATCGAAAGACCGAGGATACTGTTCCAAGACTCTCTGCGAAGCAGTCAGCTAATAGTAGACCAAGAGGATACTCCATCTTTCTGTACGTAAAATTAATTATTGAATTCGAATTGAATATTAAACGTACATCTTAGAAGTAGTTCCTCCAGGTAGTCGATGGGGAGAGGAACTTCTAGGTTGTTGGTTTCGATTTAGTCTCAGATGAAGCATATTATCTCAGTTAGAGGGAGACTTGTGAACAGAGATGTAACATCTAGAGAAGGTATTTTTTCTTCAAACACATTGGTATCTTTCACTGAATGGATGAAATCAAATGTATCTTTGAGGCTATATCATGTCTATCTCCTTATGTTATCTTTAAAGAATACTGGGGAGAACACGGGTGGTAAAGATACCTGTCTGTTTTCGACATAGAACTTTGCACTATATCCGCTAACATAGCTCGTCGAGGGAGGCGATGGCTTGGCATACGTAACACATGTCCTAACCATCTCAGTCTTTGTAGCTTCACGACTTCGTCGATTGATTTCCCCTGTTTACCTAGAACTCGACGCCTAACCTCCATGTTGCTCACCTTATTATGCCACTTTACACGGGAAATAGAACGCAGGCACCTATGATCAAACACAGCTAGTCAGTGTTTTCATGTCTTCCACTCTCACTGGCCAGGTCTCACAGCCATAAAGGAGGACGGAGCGGACTGATGAGCAGTACACCCGCCCTTTGGTCGATAGTCGAACATCTCGTCTACGCCAGAGTCGGCGTAAACTAACAAATGCGAAACGAGCTCCTTGTATTCGTGCTGAGATTTCGTCAGAGATCAACCCGTTGGCACTGGCTGATGGTACTTCCCAAATAAGTGAAGCGGTCAACGTGCTCCACCAACCACTTCACTTCCTATTTTTAAACTAGGCGTCGATGTAGTCCAGTCCTGTAACATCATCTTGCATTTGGCGGGAGCGAATCGCATGCCAAACATTCGTAGATTGCGGCTCAAGGTGTTTAGAAGACTCTGCATTTCGTCAGCGTCTTCGCCTAGAAGGACTATATCGTCTGCATATTCCAAGTCAACGAGATTATTCCCTGGTAGCAAGTCAATCCCTGAGTCGCTGAAGTCACCTAGGGTTAAGTCCATTAACACATCTATGATGAAGTTGAATAGAAAAGGAGATAATGGGCATCCTTGACGGACACCACTGGTCGTCATCAGTTCAGATGACAGCTCGCTGTAAGCCCTCACCTGACTGTATGAGTACGAGTAGAGTGAGCTCCTTAATCAGTGCAATATATTTTCTCGGAATTCCCTTTACAGCCAAGCATCTCCAGAGAACTTCCCGATCGACAGAGTCGAATGCTGCCTTTAGGTCAAGAAATATAATGACTGTTGGACGCCGGTAGGAATGACTATGTTCTAGAATCTGTCGAAGGGTGAAGATATGATCAATACACCCTCTTCCTGGTCTAAAGCCTGCCTGGCTCTCTCGTGTTTGTGCTTCCCGAGCACCACTCAGTCTACGCATGATTATTGAGCCTAAGACTTTAGATACTATATTAGTCAAGCTAATCCCTCTGTGATTATCACAGGAAGACTTGTCTCCCTTCTTGTATATGGGGATACCTAACCAACAGTAACAAGCACTAATCACCGTCAACAAGAGAAATCTAAAAAGAGTCCCCTCTTTCGCTTACCCTGGTTAGCACATATCGTTTCAGCTACAGGTGGAACAAATGGGGATGTCATAGTCAGGGTCGAACAAAGCAAGGCAGACCTTCACTACTCTTAAATCAGTCAGGAGATCTGCTCCCCTCAGCATTATAAACAAGATTTAGACTTTCAGTCTTAATGTTAAGTGAGTACTTCTATGTGGTTCGGAGACTTGATATGTCACTTAAAGCATTGATGACAGTCTGATGCAGACTGTTGTCAACGCCTGTAGAAGTAAACGAATAGCCGGCTACTACCATGAACACTATGCATTCCTGTTGTTTTTATGCTGATTATTCAGATTAACTGAGATTAAGGCACCCGAAAATGGCTGCGTTATGCATATATAATTATGTGTGGGTGTGTATTATTTACGTATCATTTTCACTATTGTTCCCTTGGGTTGCGAGTGGAATGCCAGGAGGCTTCAACAACTCTTCTCCATTTTGTCCTATTTTCTGTGGTCCTCTCAAGACGGCCCCACGTTTGTCCGTGGTCTTTCGTCTGCTCCTAACAATCTCCCCCATGTCACCCGGGGACGCCCCACTCATCTTTTCCAATTTTGGCTCCGCTCGATCGATGGCCTGCATTGAGCGTGATGTCATTCGTCGGTCTCCTCAACACATGCCCAATCCATCTCCATTTTCCTCTGCATATGTATATATAGAAATTCAAGAGTTATAGATTAATTTATTACAGTGGGATATATATATATATATTGCTGTATATTTCGGTCTAAAATTATCTCTTTTCCTTTTAGATATGGATAGCTCTGATAGTAGTTTTAGTGATGGTGGTAGTCAAAGTGAGCGTTTGGCGGTTCTACACTATGCGGCTGCTCTTATTCGACATCATAAATCACAACTGAAACGTTTCGATAAAATGCGAGATGAGATCTTGGTAAAACTGGAACGATTGAATATGAATTTAGTCAACGAAGCGAATAAAGAATTCAACGTTGATCATTTGGCTAACGTCGTAGAACAACCACCAGTGGCAGTCGATGCTCCTAAATCACGTATTATTCGAATTAAAAAACCTACTTGTAAAAGACATGGAGTTAGACATGCGAAAAATCCCAAAGACATAAAGACGTCAGAGAAAGTGAATGGAGATAAAATCACAGCGACAATTGTGAAGCATGAATGTTGTTCGAAAGACGAACCCAGATGTAGTCAAACAACTAATTGCAAACAAGATCCATCAGGTGATAAGGAAAACTTCAATCCAAGTCTAAGGGAATCTGATTCTCTAAAACCGTGTAATTCAAATAATCTGAAAGTTGAAGAAAAAGTTGAAAAAGCTAAGGCAGAGGAACAAAAGCCTGAAGGTGATAAACCAAAATCTGCTAGTTCTAGACGCAGACATCGACGTCGTGGTGGTGCTGGTCGCAGTGGTGGCTGTGGTGGTTGTGGAAATCCAAGTGGTAGAAATGGTGGGCGTAGTTCACCTCGTTTTGTAGCACAGCGCTACGACTATAGCTTTCTTAATAGACCCTCCAGGTATACAAACAAAGAATTGGCCTGGGGATTCACTCAAAGTGAAGTTGATGATCTACTTGCACAAAACGTTAAACCATGGGAGGATGATGCAGTCGATGTCTTGGCATTTTTAAGAGGTGGTTGTCAGGAATACTATTTCTGAGATGTGCATTTTCATATTTCACTTTTCCAGATTAATAAAGCATTTTTAACAGTTTGATTTCCTTTTTCAAATTTTTTAACGATTATATCCCACGTAAAGTTTCAAGTATTGGTTTGTGGGAATTTTCGGTTGGTTGGTTGGAGGATTTCATCATAATGTGACATCGGACTATTCATTACTGTGCATCCACCACCAGGGGTTCGAACCCATTACCTTCTGATTACAAGGCGAGCTCGGAGACCATTAGGTCACTGGGAACTGATCCAATGGCCCATGAATTCTAATTTCTACCAATTCACTAAATAGCGCGACCACCGATGGGTGCGTACTAATGCACAGTCAATCCCAAGCACTCGGATGCAACAGCTGTCCAGTACATCCCGGTTTTCCAATCGTTCTCTAACCGATGTCAGATCATCATCAAATCCTCCAACAAATTTTCAAATCGTAAAACGTGCACTATTTACTTAAGCGAGCAATGAATTAGTTTTGTGCTAACAATTAGTGTGATCCGGTTTTGAAATTGAGGCATATTCGAACTCACTCAAGGCGCTTTTCACTACTACAGGTAAAGATTACTGTCTACTTGTATATGACTTCTTTATTATGTAGTCACTAACCAACAAACCAAGAAAGTAAGTAAGTCGTATCCACTTGGAAGCATAAGTAGTTTGATTCGAGGATCTTGTGGCTTCATATCGCTAACAATGACTCCACCAAGTATAGACCATAATGTGGTGACACCGTTTATATTTGATACATTCCCTTTATTGTGTAAATTTGAATAACAAGATGGGAGTTTTTGTAAAGGTTCATAGTCTACGTTTATTAGGTTGACTTCGTAGAACCTTTTCGTAGGTTGAAACATCGCTGTAAGACTCAAGATGGAATCTTTCTAAGCATATTGCAGATTCTAGACTAGTAATACCAATTAAAATATATATTGAAAACGATTGGTAATCAATTCGCTTGTTTAAGATATCTGAAAGTTTCCTGATTGTCTCTAGTCAAATTTTCGAGTTTCAGCGGGACGTGTGTCCGACTAGTGAATCAACATGGAATTTTTCTTTTTCTAAAGGTTCATCGTTCACTGTAAGCGTTAGGAATGACCACAAATTCGTCAGAGAAGTTAACAGATGTATTTAACTTGAACACTGTGGTAGGATGTGGTTCCATATTACTTTGTTAATCGTATATTTCATACAGTATTCGAAATGTCGCCCAGTTAATAATAATGGTTTGCTTGATTCTAAAACAGTAGTACTTATGATACAGATTGAAATCCTCAGCATTTTGGACAATGTTGCAGCTCATTTAGTTAACAACAAGATAAGCAAGCAAGAACGAATACATTACAGGGTAAACTGGACGAAAAATGATAAAATCCAACAACTTTTGGCAGTGACAGAAACATTAGGGTCAAAATGATGTACAAATGGCCCAAGTTAAACTTTAAGCACCGCTAACTACCAGTGGAGTGTAACCACACCAATAACCTTGAAACGCTCCCTAAGCAAGTTAGTGAAACCTGATATATAATATTGTCATCCACAATAAAATATCCTCATCAAAGTGTTATTTCATTCATTAAATTCGATATCTGGTAAGTTTCAGCTGAGGTTTGGGGAAGATTAGGTTACGCTTTGAACCAAGGGTTAGGTTAACCTAATAAAGTCGACATTACGGTTGGTTCGAGTTAGATTACAGTTAGTTTAGGGATATTTTCAAGTTAGGATTAGGTTCAAGAAAGATTAGGGTTAGAAGACGTAAATAAATACATGCATAGAATGTGGGTAAATTACTGTTTATATAATTATTAAGAATAGAACTTATGAACTCATTCACGCGATTGGTGGGTTTGAGGTCATTTGCTGATAGGCGATTAGTGGTGCTTAAAGTTTAACTTTGCCGTGTCACCATAAAATTACAAATATAGGAGAATAACTGAGTCGTTCCTTTTTTATGCTAATTACACAACAAGTCGTAAGCTTCGCTTCAAACATTATCTCTGCCACATAGGACTCTGGCCAGATACGGTATCGTTGAGTTTTGTACTTGGTTGTGCAAGCATAGAATCTAGTCCTACCTGATAAGATGCAAGGAGAGAGGATGTTGAAAGTCAGACAATATCAGTTTAGACCAGTTCTCACAGTAGTCTACGCGCCTGTCGACTATGACAGTAACGAGCTAACTTACTATTGGCACACAACTTACCCTACTGACAACAGTTAACACCCTTCACAATGCGACAGTCTTTTTTTGATTAATCTGGGAAAGACTAAGGTAGGCGGAGCAATGAAGAATAATAGGTAAGATGCAAGAGTTAACAACTTGTAAAAGTCGACATTGAGTAATTCCATATTGTCTTGACGTTTTTTAAAGTACAAGGTTAGATGGAGCATTATCTTTGGAACAAATAGGACATGAAAAGACCGAGAAAGGTGGTGAGAGGGTAGAACTATTCCGGGGTATTTTCTCCTTGACTTATTCTCTGTATCCGTTCCCTGTAAGCTACAAGCATCATGTAGTCCTATTTCTCCAAAATCGACACTGGTAGACAAACTGACACGGAATCAAAGCAGAATAAATGTTGGAGCCGAAAAAGATCGAGGTTCTAAGTGTTGTAGGACTGCAGTGCACAAATAGCACATGGGAATACTTTGGAGACGGAATGCTTTTAACAAATCATGTGACAGGTATGATGAGAGTGAGAATTTTCTAAAACTAAACATCCTGGCAATAGGAAGTCAGTTTTAAGTACAAAGTTCTTTAAATTCTGTAAAACCGTCTGTATGTTGTGCAAGACTATCCTCGCTGGGATTGATTTAGTCTTCCTGTACATTGTCTAACTGTCGAGATAATACTAAGTAACGGCCGAAGGAATTAATCATATGCATTCATTAATACTGCCAATAACAACAGTGGGTGACGGATTTTTACAAGCTACAATAGGACTAGTCTGTCATGAGTGTTTCTTTGACCGAACAAACACTACAGTACAGAAACAACACTGGTAGACCATATGGCACGAAGCTGATATAGAATCAGTATAAAGAGTTTCATCTGCAACACGGCCTCTGAAACACTGTCTAGACTCCGTGTGATATTCCAGTAGTTGAAGTGGAGAAAAGCCTCAGTTTATATTCTGTTAATCTAAGTTATGCTTACTTCATGGTTAAGGTCTGCATTACAACCGGGATAGCGATGGTGTGGGACTCTGGCAATGTTTGGTGAAATATTCTAGAGCAATGGCGCAGATGCATCCACTTCTTGTGACTTATGATCTCCAATCAAACTGTTTTGTTTTTCTTTATTACTCCTTTGTCTCACACCTCTGCTCACTGTTTCGACTATGCTTTTCTTGTACTTTCTTAATAATAATAATAATCACTTTATTCTTCTCTTGCTTCGCGTGCTACACGGAGTGTGGCGACTTGAACTTCCGCACATTTGTGCAAACTTCTATGTCGAAAACAGACAGAGCAATGTTATGGAGTTGTGTTTAGGCTTTATTTTATATTAAGCGAGAAGATGTAAGCATAAAAACCTTTCCATACTTCCTAGTTCTCTTCTATTTACAAGTGTTGGTTTGCAGGGATTTGACTGGCTACCTGGTTTCATTATGAGCTATTGGAGTACTGGACAGCTGTTTCGTCTCAGTGCCTGGGACTCTTCATCACTACGCGCCCACCTGCTAGGGTTCGAACCCCAGAAGTTCCGGTTACAAGGCGAGCTCTGATAGGATCCCACATATTTTGGTATTGACTGTTTAAACTTGCATATATGGTATGTTATCATTCTCACACATTTTGGTAGTGACTGCTAATTTTGTATATTATCATTCTCACGCATTTTGGTAGTGACTGCTAATTTTGTATATATGGTATATTATCATTCCCACACATTTTGTTACTGACTGTCAATGTCGCACATATGGCATATTATCATTTTTCACGCACTTTGTTATTGGCTATTAAGGTCAATTATTTCAAATGCTGTTAGCTGTCCATATTGTTGTAAAATGTATAAATACCATGGCTTTCTTTATCGTTGTTGCACTTCAATACACAGTCACAGTCCAGCCTTTGTCTTTTGATATTTGCGTGCTTTACTAAGTCGGAAGGTACGACGAGCAGAT